ATTGAACATTTTCTGGAACACGAATGAGTGAGCAAGGAAGGGGGTTCAGATCAGGAACTACGTCAGACAAGTGGGTCCGTCGCTGGACCGCAGCTGAAGCATCAAATCCGGTTCGTGATCTTGTCAAAGAACGAGAATCTAATTTTCATCCCACGGTTTGAACGGTCCAGAGAGAAAAGGCTTAGGGAGGTGCCTCTCCAAACACGAGCGTCAGAACGGTTTCGTGTGTGTTTTATATCTGAAGTAATAGGAAAATGGATTTGCTTGGGGTACGCATTTCTACGGCCAGGGCGAGTGTAGACAACTCAATTTCGTTTGAAGACTCCTGGTCTCTTTGATTTTGTTCCTTATTTCCCCTCTCGCTGACTGCAGACGGGAGTCCGTCATATGAACGACTTACGTGCAGCCGAAATTAGGTTGAATTTAATTTACATTAACAGTAGAAGAAAGTCACATTTGTATTTTTAAATTTCTAAGAATTTATTTTCAAAATATATGTCTAACAAGTGGTACAAAACTTGTCCTTGTGCTTAACTAATTAAGCAATAGGCCATGGAGGCGTGTGGGGGAATGGATGTATAGATCCACATATTCACGCTCCGGCCGCTTAACCCTCAGCGGGAAGAGAGTCCTCGGCCCATTAAACAGGAGACTGGTGAGCCCCAGAACCGGTTGGATGACGTGGAGAAGAGAAAATTCTTGACTTTAACGGGACTAGAACTCTGACATTTCTGTAGTCTAGCCCTTATCCTGCCGCTTTACCGACTGCGCTATCTCGGATCTGCTCTACCAAGTGGTAAGTTTCTTATCTCAGATTACCCATAAATTCATAGTTACTTGAAGATAAAGCTCTCAAGGAAAGTAACGATGTGTAGGCTCATAGAAGTCTACCGAAGTTTCGGAGAACATGTTATGTGTCAGAGTCACTCCCGACAAGGTTCTGGGTCGGAAATTAGATTTATTGACCACTTACAAGGCATAACAGCAAATAACTATAACACCATCGCTAATCTCCACACTTCACAAATCACTAAAGTACACGCTAGGTTTTCCAGTCTGCTTTCGCTAGCCGTTTCCCGCTAACGGACCTTAACAATAGAGATTCTTCAACGGTGCCGACCAAGTTTTCTCTTCACAGACTCCCTTACAACCGACTCTGTTACACCTTGTTACCAACTGACAAACTTCTAATCTTATCTCTGTTAAAACATCTCGGAACGGACAGTGCAGAAAACACCTTTTCTTGTTGAACTCCGATTATTTCTGTAGGAACATGTTTGTTTGAAAAGGCATTACTCAGTAACGGTTGCGTATACTTGTTTATTAAGAATCTCTTTCCTAGCCGCGAATGTTGTTCCGTTTTTTGTTTCAGGGTCTCTCTTTTTTTAATTCGCTTAGTGGGGGTGAAGTCCAACTGGTTCCACTCGGCACGGCGGCACTGATTGGCCTATTGTAGCCTGCCCCGGGTGATTATGATGATGGAGAATTTGGCGGAATGAAGATTGGCAGGGGAAACTGAAGTACTGGGAGTAAACCCGCCCCAGCGCCACTTTGTCCACCACAGATCCCACTTGACCAGACCCGGGATCGAACCCGGGCAGCCGCGGTGGGAAGCCAGCGACTAACTGCTTGAGCTATTGCGCGGCCTTCGATGTCGTTACTCAGTAACGGCTCTGCCCGCTACTGCACTCTCTCCACCTTCAGCTTCGTAGAGTGACCAAAGCCAGGTACTCCAAAGTCTAAGGCAGTGCTTTCAACCGAAAATTTTGGTGGAATTCTGCAGAACTACGAGGCGTTGTAGTCCAGAATGCAGTTCTCTTTATAAACTTGTAACTCTGCATCCTGTTTAGGGTGTTTACAAATGGAAATTGAAGGGCTAGCTTCACACGAATAAATGTTTCTTTATTCCCCTCACAACTTAAACATCTTGTTACTGAATTATGTCAGATCCGACTGAATACCTCATAGACATTACATTTAAAAGTTATGAATAGACATAAGGGCATTAAATTTTAAATTTTGAAATATACAACATTCGAGCATTAAATTTAAAAATTAAAATTAGAAGAGCGTGTGGCTAAAATCGCTACGAAATAACCGGAGATTTTCCAAGGGAGTAAGGCGACATAGGGGAACTTAAGAAAATATAGGGTCGAGGTAAAACGGTTGGTATGTTTTGCTGGAGAAGAGGGTGTGATTAAGGTACATATGTTTAGATTATGGTACGAGGAAGTTGGAGCGTAGGTTTTGGTGAACCCGTTGTTCTGTGAAGAAGATATTTCTCCCTAGGCGTAGTAGTTATTGTGTTGGGGGCACTGGGTTGAGAGTATATATTGATTACATGATGTTTTCTTCCTGAATTTTCCTGGAAGGTACGTTGATCTGATAGCGATCAGAGCTTTCATTTCGTTTGTATACGTTACATGTGCCTTTGTGTTAGTTCCCTCTGTAGAGGTCATTTCTGGTGGCCCTTTCTTAAGCTCTGATGTAAACTGGATGTAAACTTGGGTTAGAAAAATACGTGTGATATCTGTGTGTGATAACCTCTTATATATCTGTTACCAGTTTCCAGTTTTCACGACGTCAGGTTATAGTAGGGGATCATCAGTAATTACTTTCTAGGTTTCTTATCTTTGTTTTCAAAGAAATGTTCTTGAATTAACTGAACGAAGTATCCTTAAATTAACTGTGAGGAAATTCCGGAGATGTTATTTAGGTGTTATTTAGTACAAATATATCGATCACTGACATGGAGTTTATATTGTAAGGGCTTATACTGATATTTCAAATGATTCTGTCACTGCGAAGCCAGTTTTTTTATTTTTGAGTTTTTACCTCTTAAAAATTTGTTTCGACCTCTGGTAACCTCAGCTTTTTCTCTGACATTCATGTAAACCTTGTAGTTGCTAAAGTGTCTGCAGAGATTTCACATGGGAATTATTACGTGCGTACAAGTCCATTCATTGAAATGTTAACACCTAAAAACTAAAACTAAACTCCGTGGCTTGAGTCCGCAAGCGAACTCTACCGGCCGAGCCACCGTCGCTTGTCGGAGAAGTTAGTGCCAACTTTAGACGATAGAGGGCGCCACGTGGTCAGCACAGCGGATCCCCACTGTAGTTAATCTCGGTTTTCTAGACCGGGGCCGCTATTTCCTTGAAATAGCTCCTCAATTATCCTCACGAGGCTGAGTGGACAAGGTTCCAGACCCACCGTTAATCAGAAAATCTGGTAGAGCCGGGAATCGAACCTGGACCTCTGGATCTGTAGCCAGGAACTCTGACCACTAGACCACAGAGTCGGTCAGTGTTCACCCGTACGTTTTTAAAAATTATTAGCTTTAACTATGGTTATTTGGGTTTTGTAAATCTTTCTGTAGAAAGTTTTAACTGCATTTCTTTAAAGTATCAATGGACATTTTGTCCCATCAGAGATATTTTTGTCTCCGGACTGCATGAGTCCTCAGTGAGAGCCCTGGACTGAAAGTTTCAGCTTGCGAGTAATTCGGAAGGAGGATCCAGGCGTCCTCTTAGTTCACCCTTCATTCTGCGATAGTCATAAGAAGATTTTGGTGAAAATAAGGATATTCGAGTAGAAAATTGTTGCAGTTATTTGTGTCACTTGCAAGGTCCTGTGGGTTTCTTCTTGCTTGATCAGAATTGCTTTAAATATTCTGCATACAAAAATGAAGTAAACATTACGTAAGTCCTAAGATTTTCACGTAGGATGATTCCTTTAACGCTACTGCTTAAACACAATGATTGAATATGCACCACTAAGTCAATTTATTTTCCGTAAGAAAATGAGAGTAATTTTTGATTATGTTGCTCTATTTCGGGGCACGCGGCAGTGTAGCTGGTTGAGGCACTATACTACAAGCCGGAAGGTTTCGGGTTCTGTTCCAGATGATGTCACTTGTTTTCTTCGGATGCTCTAAAACTCCCAGCTGCACTTTGGCCCTGGGGTCGACTCAGAAATGAGTACCAGCAATCTTCCTCGGGGTAAACGTCGGCCGGCGCGTACGGCTGACAGCCGATTGTCTAAAAATGTGTTATCCTCGACGTTTCCAATCCTACGAGCCTCCACAGCCTTCTACAGAGATAGCTTTACCTTTTTATTTCACTGTTACTGATTGATACTTACTTACTTACTCATGGAACTGAGCTTTTCTGGAGGAGCCGCCAATTCTGCAGCTACTCAAGAGTTCCCCAGCATTTTATGGAACCCGAAGGTTCATTACCGTGTTCACAAGAGCCCTCTACTGGTCCCTATCCTGAGCCAGATCTATCCAATCCATACCATTCCATCCTATCTCTCTAAGAACCGTTTTAATATTGTCCACCCACTTACGCCTTGGTCTTCCCAGTGGTCTCTTTCCTTCTGACTTTCCCACGAATATCCTATATGCATTCCTCTTCTTCAAATTCGTGCTACATGCCCTGTCCACCTCATCCTCCTTGACTTGATCATTCTAATTATACTTGGAGAAGAGTACAAGTTATGAAGCTCCTCATTATGCAGTTTTCTCCAACCTCCTGTCACTTCATCTCTCTTCTGCCAAAATATTCACCTCAACACCCTGTTCTCAAACACCCTCAGTCTCTGTTCCTCCCTTAATGTCAGAGACCAAGTTTCACACCCATACAGAACCACGGGCAAAATTATAGTTTTGTATATTCTAATTTTTATGTTTTTGGACAGAAGACGAGAAGATGAAAGGTTCTGGACTGAATGGTAGCAAGCATTACCCGAGTTCAGTCGCCTCTTAATTTCCTGCTGAATCAGGTTTCGATCTGTTATCCTTGTTCCCAAATATCTGAACTGCACCACATTTTCAAAACATCTGTTTCCCATCTTTGTGTCATGATTTTGCTCTGAATTTTGGTGCGAGACAGCAACATGTACTTAGTTTTCTCACTGATTAATTCACATGACAGAAAAATAATTGCGCATAAGAACCTCCAAACTCATCTGCAGACGTGCACGTTAAGCAATCGTACCTTTCCTGTCCCGAGTTCTACTCCTGGCGGGGAATGTGAGCTGCGTGTGATCCATAGCGGCGACGGCCATGGTGTGGGCATTGTCGCGGAAGTCCCCGGTCTCCGCCCACACTGCGAACAGAAAGCGCCCATCTTTCTCTGCGGTGTCAGACACTAGGCTTAGCGTTACCATGCACAAAGAGGACTATGTACTACTAAATGGGAACATGCGGGTTTGTAGCCAGTGGACGGCAAAGGACCACGTTAGTCAACCCGTCAGGTTATAACCCTGTGCTGACTAATGTGTGAATTTATGGATATTTGTTTCGATTTTAAAATGAATACGTACTAAGTAAAGATATCTGTAGGAAAAGAAAATTAATGAATATTTCTGAATTTGAGGTTATCACAGCGGTGGCTATGAAGAGTTCTGTCTTCTGGGACATAACTTCGTTAAGTCCAATGAAAATTAACCAAAGTTTAGGAGGAGGAATAAGCCAGACAGGAAATCAGCATGGAGCACATGCCTAACTTCCGGTTTCCAGCCGACAACACGGCATTACATCCCAGAAGACGAAATTCTTAAAATATTTTAAAAGTTGGTAGATAAGATTTAAGGAAATGAATCCGACTTTAAGAATTTAGAAGACAATTTTATTCTACATCAAGTCTGAAATTATCTAGAAATGTGGAGCAGCGGTAATTCGTCTTCTATTGGGAATGTACCTCCTTCGGATCCCAGCTTGGAATATATATATTTCCCCTGAGCCCCTCCACATAAATGCTCGTGATAGGCCTAGTGTATTAAATTAGACTACGAACGATTCTACTCACAATACTCCTGTTACCCCGTACATAATGATCTTACCATATCTCGTTCGATGGATATAAACTCGGTATTTGATACAGTATAGTAAAACAAAAGAATAGACCATGTTATGCAGTTCTCATTACACCACATGTTTGAGGGTCCGCTGTAAATACTTCTGACGCAGTTAAGTCTGTAATTTTGAATCGCCCTGTATCAAACAGACAGCGTGTTTTACCTGTACACTGTGTTACTGCTACAGTGTGTTTGCACTCTGTCCCAGGCTGTAAATCGCTGTGATGTTGGTTATCGCGCAGTAAACATGTACGCGCGGGGTCCCCTGTTTGCTGAGGCACAACTCTCCTCAGCCTGCCGTGGGCACTTCCTTGCTACATCACCCGAGCCTCCATAAGGCCACGCTGTAGCAGTTGGTACTGCGACTCGAGAGGCCTCCCAGACAACCCAAGCCCTCGTAGAAAACCCGGAGAGGTGAATTTTAAAGAGGCCATCGACCAAGAATGTTCATATCCCTTCCGACTTATTGTTCATAAATATTTGTTCATTTCCCATTCGACTGCATGTAGCATCTACAGTTAAATAAGCCATTGTAATATTAACGATAATAATACAATGAAATAATAAGGATACGCGCAAGTCTATCGTGACATAGTGCGCTGACAATTATCGCGGAGCTGGTTGCAGGAAACGTTAATTCTCCTGAAGGTTGATCTGCCAGTAATAGTTTGTTGTCATCTATTATTTTTGTTATTAAGAATGCAAATTTAACATCTTAAAGTCTGTATTTTGCATTTTTTTATTTTGGGTTTTATGATCGGATAGGAACACACAGTAGCGTAGTTGGTTGAGGCACTATGCTACAAGCCGGAAGGTCGCAGGTTCGAGTCCCAATGAGGTGGATTTTTAATTGACCCAATCCTTCTACAATTCAAGCGGCACTATGGTCCTGGAGTGGACTCGGCCTCTAACAGAAATTAGTACCAGGAATCTTCCGGTGGCAAAGGGTGGCCGGCCTGTAAGGGTGACATCCTCACTGCCAGCCTTGAGCCGATTGTCTAGAGAAAATGTGGGAGCCTCGACGTCTCACAGCCCCATGTGCCTGAATGGCCTTTACGATTGGATTATGAGTATATGAAGCGGAGCCTATAACAATATAGAGAATAGTGTGTATAGTATAGCACAGTGTGCACTAACGTGAGCCACTACAATTCTATGGAGTAATAACCAGAGCTAGGTGTTTGTACGAGTAATCCTAAGCTAAGACTCGAAGGAATGAACATACAAATGAAAACGCCGAATATGTTTCCCTAGAATTGTTCCGGGGTGGAGATCGACGGATCATTTAGGTGATGAAGATGTTACTGTTACCTAAAATGTAGTTTTCTCTTAAAAGTTTTCACGTAGTTTCTCTTCCTGAAACACAATACGTTCTTCATTTCCGACACACTGCTTTATGCGAAAGGTGTACAAGAGGTGTTAAAATCCATCCCATAATCATAAACCTTGACGACTGTAAGCGCAAGGTTTCTCCGAAACGTCTCTTCACTTACAACGAACTACACGGTAGGACTCTGCGTAGCCACTGCTGTGAGAACCTGAACTGCAACAAGGAGATATCTGTTTTCTGTGATATAATACTCTGTAACTAAAAAAAAAAATTAACCGACGTTACAGTGGAAAATATGATTTCCATCTTCAGGATTCGAAGAATAAGCCAAGTAATCAGAATGAAACAGGAAACAAGCAGTGTGATTCTTGCTTGGCTTACCCCTCGACCCTGAATGCGAGGGCCATATTTGCCTCCGAAATATCGGTTGATTTTTACCCGACGTCTCATACTTTTTTGACACTCGCCGTACCCCCGTATATAATGATAATATTCATGCACTAACTTTGCATTTCATTAAAAATGTGTTCCTGCCTCACCCAATGGACGAGAGCGTTTCGAGATATACAAGTACGTCAACTGCTCTATATGTCCTCATAACGTGGTGCTTAATTAAGTACAACTTTATTTTGCTTCATTCAGCAACATGGAACACGTGAGTGAGTGCTGCCCAATCACATTATATTTGGGAGCTTCCTGGTTTCACTATTGGCCCAGAGGCGGGCTTTTCTGAGAAATGCAGAGAGCTTTGAAAAGGACATGACCACTTTCGCTATCCTTTCTGCTGTCGATACATAATCATTAAACAAGATCTAACAGTTTGTGACGATGGTAATTAGTACAAATATTATGTTTCTGGATATTATCCATCGTCTTGGCTTTATATAAAAGCCGTCCTTTTTAGTTTACAAAACACAACGTTTCGGAGACTGGATTCTGTCACCCTCTTCGGGTAAAACCTAATCAGTTGGACGCAATCGATAGAGGCGGTTTTAGATAAAGCCAGGACAAAATATCATTAAATAGTATACAAGCAAATAAAGGAGCTCAATCAATGCTGAAGTTACAGTTTCACAAAACAAAAAGTATTCGACGCCGTATTTATTGATGAAGTTACGTAGGTCGTACCGAAAGTTATGAGCAACTTTCCTTTACATGCAACGTGGGAACAGCAGACGAAAGAGAGTTGCTTGAAACATACGTACGAATTTGCCGAAAGACGAAATAAGCGGTAAGTTTAGAATGCTTCATAATGATGAGCTTCGTGATCTATGCAGATCCTGAAGTATTCTTATGCATTTGAAACCTTGGAGGACCTATCTTGAATTTGTAGCTCTAAGTAGGAAAATAAGGAATGTATGCAAATGTTTCCTGGAAAACTGCTCGGAAAAAAAACCACTTGGATTACCAAGAACGATATGGGAAATAAAACTTTTTGGAGCTGAGAACATTAAATAATATTTAAGATTTCAGTTAATTTCTTAAAGGTAAATTTCATCTCCGACCAGTTAATACTCTTTAAGGAAACAAATACAGCCCACTTCAAGGAAACAAACCAGTTATTTGGCTGAAGCAGGTGCTGTACCCATGCAGCTATTGCTGTGTGTGAAATAGTTGAAACGGATTAGGAAATGAATAGCGAAATTACTCTTAGGAGGTGGTAAATCTGTCTCATGGCCGTGTCCAAAGACAAACATTGGTATAAGCGATTATTTATGTTTTGTAGCCTTAATTACGTCTAGGCCTAACTAAGTAATTAGTGGGTTAAAAATCNGAGATCAGGGTTGATTTCCTAGGCAACGAGCGACGTTCCCGCTACAGCGCTGCAATCGCAACACATCCATTGCTATACAACGGCTATCAATCTAACAGTGGAGTTTCCACAGTTACAACAGAAGGTATACTTCAGTGGAAACGGATTTCCACTTTCGTTGCATAACAGCGGGCGGAAACCAAAGTCTCCTACATTGTGCGCTCTGTTCAGTCTGAAACGATATGAGGACCACTCAGTCTTAGTGTAGGCCCGGCGAGAGCAGAAACAAGGTCGCATGCGACAAAGGACGGAAGACTTTACCGACATTAGCGGCGCAAGAAGTAACTGGAACGGTGTTGTAAGAAACGTCTAACGACGTTATAAGTGGATGATAATTGTACGCGTGAGATTGGGCAATAAAATATTTGTTGAAATCTGGGAACTCACGTAAGTTCATGTCACATTGCCTAGGAAACACGTTACAATATGTATGAAGGATCTCGACATGTCTTGTGAAAATGTTGCTCAGTGATGAGATAGAATTTTAGATAGACTGAGGCAAAAAGCTATTGAAATTATCTGCAGGAAACAAATTTATTGAAATTAATTTAGACGTGTAGAATTTGTTGAAAAGATCAGCATGAATTTAGAAAATAAATCTCTCTTTTAGTCGCTGTAAGGTCACGGGGTCAAGTAGGAGACTAATCCCATGGGAACCCAAACAGTTGTTAGTGTCTTCCTGCAGCACGACCAAAGTGTCATAATTTCACCCGCAGACCGAAGTCTCCCCCCGCCCCGCACACCACTCAATCTGCTTGTCTCCTCACATTCACAAAACCATGAAAACCAACTCCAACTCCCTCGTCTGTCTCAACTAAAATATTACTTCCTTCTGTGGGAAATTACTACAGAAATACTTGCTGTCTGTCATTCATATTGACGTGCGTCGCTAACATCTGCGACGTTTATCCCTCTAAGAAGAACATTTCCAGCAAGAGCAATTTCACGAATTCGCTTTCTGTGCCAACAATTCCGGGAGAATATAATTTCAGTACAAAATCTGACACTATGGGAAGTTTATCTGTTTGAGAACTTATGAGCCGGGATATCTCAGTCGGTATATTTATAATTCCTGGACAAATGAAGACTCAGGATTCCTGGGAGGC